AGTACATTATTTTATGTGAAATCAATCAACAATTGTTGTTTTTCTTATATTGTTTAATTTAAGTACGTTTATTAAACAAAACAAGAAGGGCTTAACATATTCTTATAGGAGTAGTTCTTGTTTTTAATATCTTTCACCCTTTGTTTTATTTTTATTTTTCTTGTCATATATATATATAGATTGTTTTGACTTTACATTATTTTCCTTATTAGCTGTTGTTATATGTTTTTTAATATTTTCTTCTTTATATTTAAATTTGTTATATTTGAGCGGAAAATCTTCAAAAAAAGCTTCTTTTACTCTAAGAAGTACTAGTTAGATCTATGTATTCTTTACCTTTCTCAGACACCATTTTTGATATTTTACTTTATTTATAGTTTTTGTAGTTACACAAAATATATAACTGGAAAAAAAAATTTGAGAGGGTTAAGTTTGTCATTTAACATAGTACTCCAGTAGCATAATAACATCACTCAAAACTTCAACTTCTTCAAGCAGAATGTAAAATCAGTTTGAAGTCCCCAAACATGGCGGTGACGGACTTTTTCGTCGGCGAAATCACCACCGAACTCTTAAAAAACCTTCTGCTAATAGTTAAAAAATCCACTTTATGCCGTTCAAGTGCCGAGAATCTCATCGACAGCATCAATGGTCTCCTTCCAATCATCCAAGAAATCAAACAAACCGGTGTTGAACTTCCACAGATACGTCAAACTCAGCTCGACGATTTCTCCAAACTTCTCCGAGATGGTTACGAACTCGCCGGAAAAGTTGTCCACTCCGGCCGTTGGAACATGTACAGGTGTCACCTTCTCATTCGACTCTAATTACAGTGAATTGAACCTCTTCCTGCTCTAATTAGGGTTATTGAATTGTGCGAATCTGTTAGAAATTACTTAATTTATATTATGCCTTGATAACAGGAACCTACAGTTGGCTAGGAAAATGGAGAGGCTGGAGAAAAGAGTAGCGAGGTTCATGCAAGTTACAATGCAAGCTCATGTACTTGCGGATGTTCATCATGTTAGGTTTAATATGGAGCAGAGATTTGACGTGCTTGAGCATAGGCTTAAAGCTATAAAAATCGGAGTTGACGATAAAAGTGGTGGTGGTGGTGGAGGAGGAGGGTGTTTAGGGGAAGCTGTGAAAAGAATGGAAGAAGATGAGAAATGGTTTGAGAATAGTTTTGTAAATTTAGGTGCTGGGATTGAATTGGGGAAGAGGAAAGTGAAGGAGATGCTGATGGGTGAACAGGATAGAGGTGTGTTTGAGATTTGTGGAATTGGGGGTAGTGGCAAAACTACCTTGGCTAAAGAGATTTGTAAAGATGATCAAGTTAAAAGTAAGTAATTAATCCCAGAAAAGTTTCTCATGTAGAGTACTTTAGCTTTTTGCGGGGTTGATTTCTCGAAAGGTTACTCAACTAATAGTTATTATCTATCACTTTTCGTTCTTGATTCTGATGCAAAGAAAGTGACTTTATTAGATATTAACTATTACTTGAGTGGACATCCGTGAAATCAACTCATGTTTTGCGTTGCTGATGATCGAGTTATTAGAAGTTAATAATCACACAAAAGTTTCTCATTTCATTTTGTTTTTACTCTTCTGTTGCGGATGAAACAGTGGATAAAAGTTGAAAACTTTATTGGCTATTATCTCTATTTTATCAGTTGAATTCTAATAGAGATCAATTTTGCATGTAAAGGACTCATCAAAAGTTTTGATTGGAATACAGTTTAAATTGGTCTTAAAAACCTTTTCTTTAAATAATGGTATGGTGTCTAAAACCGCCATGTTGTTCCAGGTTATTTCAAGGACAAGATTTTCTTTTTCACTGTTTCTCAATCTCCAAACGTGGAGCAATTAAGGAAAATGATTTGGGAAAAGATATCAGGGTGCAATCTCCATGGTTATGGACACGGGGAGATGTTACCCCAGTGGAACCTACAGTACCAATGGAATACGAAATCTGCATCCCCAGTACTCTTGATTCTTGATGATGTGTGGTCTGCATCTGTGCTAGAGCCACTAATTTTCAAGATCCCCGGCTGCAAGATCCTAGTTGTATCGCGTATCAAGTTTCCTCCATCAATCATTGACTGTATTTATGATTTAGAGTTGTTAAAGGAAGATGAAGCTATGCCCTTATTTTGCCATTTTGCATTTGGACACAATTCCTTTCCGCGTGGTTTCAGCCAAAAGCTTGTCAAAGAGGTATTAGTGTATGTTTTTGGCAGCATATTAGTTTTTCTTTGCAAAAATTTCTTGTTGTACTTGAGTTAAGCTAACTAAAGCTTCTTGGACTTTTTAGATTGTGGATGAATGTGAAGGGCTTCCTTTGGCTCTTAAGGTCATTGGATCTTCATTAAAGGGAAAACCTGAGATGTTCTGGATAAGTGCAAAAAACAGATTATCACGATGCCAACCTGTCTGCGAGTCTCATGAACTGCAGTTGCTTGAGCGAATGAAATTGAGTATTGACTGTTTGCCTGAGAAGGTGAGAGAGTGTTTCCTGGACTTGGGTGCTTTCCCAGAAGACAAAAGGATTCCTCTTGATGTTCTAATTAACATGTGGGTGGAGCTACATGATATTGATGAGGAGGAGGCTTTTCACATTCTTGTTGAACTTTCAGACAAAAATCTCCTAAATCTAGTCAAAGATGCACGGTAAGCGGTGGACTCAAATCTCCTCAAACAATCTTTTAATTTTTGTTAGAAGGTGATTGTTTATGGAAAAAATCAATATGTTGATAGTTTTCAATGTGGTCTTCATGTGGCAGAGCTGGAGACATGTATACAAGTTACTATGAGATATCGGTGTTTCAGCATGATGTATTACGAGACCTAGCAATTCATATGAGCAACCGTGATGATATAAATCAGAGAAAGCGATTGGTTATGCCACGAAGAGACGTAAACTTTCCAAGAGAATGGGAAAGAAATGTGGACAAACCTTTCCATGCACGAGTTATCTCTGTGCATACAGGTATTTTAGATCCTTGGTTACTGCTGATTGCTTAATAATGAAAAGTTTATCATGTGATATAAACAGAAATATCTCTCTTTAATGCAGATGAAATGAGAGAAATGGACTGGTTCAGAATGGATTGCCCGAAAGCTGAAGTACTGATTCTCAATTTTGCCTCATCTGAGTACTTCTTGCCTCCTTTCCTGGAGAATATGCCAAAGCTAAGGGCATTGATAATCATAAACTATAGTGCTGGCAATGCAGTTCTTCATAACATGTCTGTATTCAGTCATTTAACCAACTTGAGAAGCCTTTGGTTTGAGAAGATATCTGTCACTCACTTATCTGACTCCACAAATCCTCTCAATAACTTGCGGAAGATATCTCTAGTGCTTTGTGACATGAAAAACAGCTTAGATGAGTCAGATGTGGACCTCCCTGGTTTGTTCCCACAGCTTTCTGAGTTCACAATGGATCATTGCATCAACTTCAATAAGCTGCCATCAAGTATTTGCCGGTTGCATAAGCTCAACAGCCTTAGTATCACTAATTGTGATAGTCTTTATGAACTTCCATCTGATTTAGGTGAATTACAAACTCTACAAGTTATAAGGATATATGCCTGCCCACATCTGAAAAGGCTTCCCCCGGGAATTGGTCATCTGGTAAAGCTGAAGTACCTTGACATTTCACAATGTGTTGGTTTGAGATGTCTCCCTGAAGCAATTGGTTGCTGTAGAAACTTGGAGAAGATTGATATGAGGGAGTGCCCTCAAATTGACAGTTTGCCAAGCGCTCTATCCTTTCTTGAATCATTACGTTGTGTTATTTGTGACGAAGAAGTTTTTTGTCAATGGAAAGATGTTGAGAAGGCTGTACCAGGTCTCTGTGTACAGGTTGCCGAGGAGTGCTATACTCTTGATTGGCTATCTCAGTAATCAAGTTTTCAATTCCCTTATCTTGGGTTTCTTTCGTGTAAATGTAATAAGGCTCAGTCAATTTTCCAGTTCTGTATTTTCCCCTTTGCATGGGGTTCATTGTATCTCTTGTAAATAATATATAGCAATATGTAAATATGTAGATGGACTACATCTCAATAGCTGATCTTTCCTTTTCCTTTAAAACCATAATGCTGGAAGCAAAATTACCACAGGTAATCCAAGACTAAGGCGAGTTATCTGCTATAACATGTTTATGTTGATAGTGTAAATCCGGTGAGATATACATTCTAGTACGCCCACTCTCAATTCACGTTTAAATTCTGAATCCATCGTGGCAGTTTGGTCCAAATTTTACATTTATAGTAAGAAATTCAACGAGAAGTAACGTGGTTCAAAATTTATGAAGTTAAAATCTTGAAGTCATTTTTTCATCATGAAGCAGAAAATGATAGTTTGAAGTAAACGTGTGGACCCTGCTAAGGTGCTAATAAGTTATCATGATCACTGAAACTATGAAAGTATCTGACACTATTTAATGAGGTTCATGGAACCAAAAAGATTCAGTAAATCAAATGTGGGGACCTTTTGCTAGTTTTTTCTTGAGATGATTGGGAAAGAAGTGAGGTTTGTTCAAAGAATTTGATAAATTTTCCACCAAAATTTGGTAGTGTTCACATCCAACATATTGCTTTCAAAGAATTTTTGACCCATAGACATAGAGCACAAATGTCATTTTAGTTAACCACTCTTATGTGACTTCATTTTCATAAGGTAAGTTGGCAAAGGAACCACATTCTCATAAGATTTAATTCGATCTTCATAGAGTTTTCGAGATATTCTTTAAAACAGTTTTGTAATAGCATTTATAACCTTTTCCGGTTTCAGTAGACAACCTAACAGATATATGTTTATATGAATTAGCTTATGGTCTCCCCCAGCAATAACATATTCATGGTTAATATTCCAGCTGTCTAAAAACTTTGCTTAATAACATGAGAAATATAAACTTAAATTCTACTGGTTATGCATCATCAAAACTTGCAGGCCTCAAATGTTTGATGTTCACAAATTTCATGTGACAAGAATTGAACAAGGAAAAAAAAAACAATGGACCAAAGTTGTGAGCTAAAAAGAAATTTTGTCATACAGCTTTGATACAGTCATATACATGGATGTAAAAGTTATCACAGAAATCTACTTGGGATGTACTCATTAATTCTAAGAGGGTAACTATAAAACTCCTCATTTCTGCTATCTCCTTTCCTCCTCTGGAAGGGAACCAACCACGGAACACCTCTATCGTCGTACGAGTGTCTTGCTTCGAGTGTGTTGTCTACTACTGTCCCGACAATCGTTGCAACAGTAGGAGGTGAAGAGAATATTGTGTTCAATATGTCATTAAACTGCAAAAAAAATTGGACAAGTTTTAAGTTTTAGATTGTCAATGATGGTGTAAAAGAAATGCCTACATGAACAAGTCGCTTATGAGGTAATTGCAAGTACAACTCATTATCCTAAAATCTACTGTCAAATGCATATCGCAAAATTATAACGAGGGATCATGTGAAGTAATGGTTCTTACCCATCCAGCTGGAGTTCTAACAGGTCCATGACCAGTAATATCTGTGTTCATCACGAAGTATTGAGGTATAGATATACCGAGGAATAGAGAGATTCCGAGCACATATATATTCCGCATGGAGTTTTTGTTCGCAAATTGGATGAAGGAAATACCAATAGCAGCTGCAGAAAATATTTCCATTCTTTAGTTATTGTTAATTAGATGACAAGAAGATCAACAAGCTGCTAAGGGAGAAATCACTTACCTACTATACCGTATAAGATGCAGTAGATAGCTGCAAATATGGGCAAAGGAATTTGAGCAAAGAATGCTCCAAATTTTCCTGAATAATAACAACTTGCATTAATCATTGCTAGTCGTAAAACATAATCTGAGATGAAGAAAGCAAGGGACAGGGTGGCGGAGAGAAGGAGGGAGAGTTTATGTCGAACCAAATATGGAGAAGAAGATCATGAAAGCAGTAGAAATCTGAACAACTCTTCTACTCCCGACACGAGTTAGTCCCAGAAGGCCGACATTTTCACTGCAGTTTTGTATCATCCGTAAATTAGGAATGAAGCACCACAATATCAAAACTTAAGTGGCTTTAGGCTGTAGCCTACACCTGAGTTCCCCGATGTTATGTAGTGTAAAAGACTTAGAACAAGATAACTAAATCTAACTGAAAAGCATGCCATTGATACTATTTATCGACCAAATTGATCAAAACCCTTACACAGATGCAGTAGTACCAACCACAGCACCAAAGAACCCGTCAAAGAGTTGTCCTATACCCTGGATAAAAAGCAAAGCACAACTGAACGACTTTCTAATGAAGAAGAGTTAATCGGAGGGTTAAATTAGTAGAAAAATTGTGCTCAAGTGAAGGCATTGCTGAATCACTTGGTGGATGTCACACCTGTAAGCCAATGCTTCTACTCACAACATGCGCCGGAGGGAGTGTCGCCCCTGCAAGCCTTGATGCAGCATAAAAAGTTGCTGTTGACTGCAAATAAATATTAGAGGTAAATTTGAAAGAGATCATAACATCAACAACTGCTTAAGTGGATGCCACAAACAATTCGGATTCGGATCAATGCAAGATCAAGAAGAATATACATAGAAGACTTAGGTGAACAAAATAGCTAGAGGGAACGGCAACCAAGTGATTATAGCAGAAAACAATCCTCGGGTGTGGTTCTCTTCTAAAGCCGTAATTTGTTAGTGGAACCAAATACTAAAATTTGTGTTACTAAAAGCAAATTTAATTCAAAGGGGAAGGAACAACATTTAAAATGAAAAGCGAACCTCTGCTGATGATACAAGTGCAGCACCCATCATTCCAAAGACATGACTAGCTCTGAATATGGGAGTCCCCCACTGGAAAGGGTAAGGAACTTTGATCCTACACGCAGCAAAACATACATGTCAGAAGAAGAAAGAAAGCTGAAGACATTGTCATTATTTAATCCAGCTGAGTACCATGGAGCCGATGACAAGAGGAACGAATGGTCAATTCGGCAGCTCATCTTAGTTTGCTCCTTCACATGGTTGTAAGCACCGGCAACAGTAAGAATAGCAGCAAAAGCCCAGATAAGCCCAATGCAGAGGAGCAAAGCAAACCTTTCAAGTATGGATTGCGCAACTGGATGCACACGTTGCATATACTGCAGATGACTTGACCAACATTACAATCTTCCAGTAAAGCGAAAGAAAATAAAAAATACAGTCGATGAAAAAATATATTACCTGCTGGGAAATGACAAGTAGAATTAACATGGGAAGGCCAATCTCTATACAATCACCCACCTGATCAAATTATAGGATCATAAAGAAAACTGGATGAGGTTTATGCAACTCTTCGAGTAATGAAACTTTTAGATATTTGGGATATAATACCTGAGGAAACCCCCTACCAGACAAACCAAGACCTACAACACAGACAAGTGGCGTAATGACAACAGGACTGAAAAACCTGCAGACATGAAGAAGGATGGAATGTCATACCTCCAACAGGAGAAGTAATAAAACGATGAAACATAATGGGAAGGCAATGGAAAGACAGAAAGACAATTCCAAAGATCAAAACCAAAACTAATGGTCCTTTTAATAAGTATTCAGAAGCAGAAAACACAACTTACCTCGTAAGTTTTCCCCAAACTTGGCCATATCCAAGTATTATGTTGATAATGGAAGACACTATGAGTGACCCTTGAATTGCTCTCATAGTGTGCTCGAATCTCTACAAACAACAATATAAGGGTAATGCATTAGAGATATCATCAGTAATTACCCCCGGTCATGAGCATTGACAACATACTTCACAGTTCACATTAACAACACAAAGCCCCAAACTTTGAGGTAAAACACAGAGGAAGTAAAGCCAGAATCTGAAACCAGGGTGCTTAATCAATATGGGCATGGTGAATGTGAGGAGTAGATTAAAGTAATTTTTTCTGTTTCTTCACGAGAGAACTAGATCCATGGAAGCAGCATGCTTCAACTGTAAGATTCATGCACTCTATGTAATTCCAAGAACACGCACTAAAGGCCTTCTAGGACACCATGTCTTTTTTTATTCTTCAAACTGTGGCTTTGACTAATCCTAATTCTTAACAAGATTAAAATTTCATCACCATTTCTGCGTATAATCTTGTCTTCCACTATGATGCTTCTGCTCAAATTACAAGTGAAGTACCTATCAGTTTTTTTTTGTACGGGAGAACATCTTGTCATCGAATATCATCTATAAACAAAGTATTTATCTCGGAACAAGCTACTTACCCAACAAAAAGTAGTCATCTGGTAGCTCCGTCATGTAAAATATTAAGCTTATCCCCCAAATAGGGCTTGCTTATCTTAAATTGATACGACTATGATTTCATCAGCAGTTTCGTATATGAGAATATCTTGTCTTCTATTGTACTTCTGCTTTCCACTAATCTCACTTTTGAACAAGTGAAGGAAAACTATATTTTTCAGATTAGATTTCCCACTGAGATCAAGAAATTCAAAGAAATGAAAGTTTTGCCTTATCAGCGAACTGCTTTAGATATCCACTTTTTATTTAAACCTATGATTCTAGCCGACTTACATTGGATCTTATCAGTATAATTTGAGAAAGCAAAAATAAAATCCACCATACAATATCAAAGAATTAATATTAGAGTAATAAAGGTAAGGTGATGTATGATTTAACTGAATTCATGATCTTAGAAAAATTAGAACAAGACCAGACAAGAGTTCGTCAACATAATTCTTGAACCTGCCTATAAACAATCTAACTCTTTGTTGACAACTGTCTATGAGTTCAACAACATAAGCCTTGGCCAGAAGGGCAACACATATTGGCTAGTACTGTCCGCCAACAGTGCAAGGTATTTGATTCTCTATCAAGATCGTAGAAGCACTGCTACTAATTTGACGGAAGATAATTTATTCATAAACTCAATACATTTCTTTGACTTCTCTACCATTCTCCACTACTCTCTGCATTATGAAAATAACTGGCAATATCCCTATTTATAATAATAAAAAACCTACTATATAATTCTGACTACAAATCCTATTTAGACATGAAATGAATAAACTAATAATATCAAGTCCGAAACAAATTTGGTTTACTACAACTTCAAATTATTCTTCAACCGTGTCTAATCACTGAAATAGGGGGATGGACCTACTAAGGGTGTGATAAAAGAAAAATGATAGGTCTCCATAAAATACATTATACAAGTAATAGAGATAATACCTAAATAATATATTTTATTACCTGATGCTCACTCCTGAAAGTACTGTCAGAGAGATCGTTAATGACCGACAGAGCTGATATGATGTAAGCAAATGACGGACCCATCACAGTGGGAAGTCTTGTGCCAAAAAGCGTTTGCAGAAGAGTATTCACTCCTGAAGTGAAAAGCAAAGACTGGATAACTCGAGCTTTGTCGCCCTGCTCATAAAGATAAAGAGCTCACGATGTCAATTACATCGAAAAGGTATCTCCAATACAAACAAGGGAAATGCTAGAGATATACCGGACCCCCACCCATCTGAGGTACCAGCACGGTGGCAATCATTACTGTAGTTCCAAGCATAACTATGTAGTGTTGGAAAGCCAGCAAAACAGTTTGTGCTGCAAAATGTAGAATCATGCAACTGATTAGAGAAAAAGACCAATAATATAATCAGGTTTCAGAATCTGCAACTCATTTACAAGTGGTGGAAACTTCAAATTGTAAAATCATTCTTTGGGAGGATGAGTTAGATCATGAAATTGTTACGGCCACAGTTTTCTGAAATTCTTTTATTTCTTTATTTGATAACAAGTAAAAATTTCAATTTACAGGAACAAGGCAAATATAATCAGAAGCGATTGCTCCAAGAGGGCCATATGCGGCATAAACACGGAACTTATTGCTCGATAGGAAACATTTGTTCTATCAAAAGTATATTCCTCCGGATGGTAAAATACAAGAATTGTCCTTTAGCTGAAGCAGATGATGTTGAGGGCAATCTAGCAATGGTTAAGAGGATCTTTTGTCATTATCAGAATTCAGTCATTTCATGGAAAGACTGCAACTCCTTTCGGTTGGGAAATTATTTATTGTATGAACGCAAATTTCACATTTATGGAAAGCCTTCCATGATACATTTCATACATCCATACATCTGCATCTTAAGCAAGAAGATTGCCACCACTCAACTCCCCATAAGCAGTTCGATTCTTAAATCTTCAGATGATATACAGCTTCCCCAAGAGAAAAAGAGAACATGTTTCAACTTGATACCAGAAACAAAAACATTTTACTCGGCGGTCGGAGCAATCTCAACTCCAAACATTGGAGGAATGGGGAGCTTTGTAAAATCACCATGCCTACTATGATTCCGATTCCTTCACCTGACGATTGTCATAAAAGCATAAGCACCAACTGACTCACATGAAGAAGTGATCATTAGACAATTCAGAAGCTATAATGAATTTAAAGTCGATAACGTCTGCAGAGACTTTCCCTTTTCCTCATTATCCTTGAACCCCACTACCCTTGGAAGCGATTAAACTCATTAAGATGGCCTACGTCATTTGAGAAAATGCCTCCCTCATCATCTCCTCTTTTTGGAAGGTAGCGGCCCTTTCGTCTATCTAATCTTTGGCTCATCTGAATAGCTTTAAATTTATTTGTACATATATTATTCACCGTGCCACATTAAATATTTGCAACCAAAATGCATCAGAAAGTGTAGATCCATACCCATGCAACGTCACATTCCATGCAAAAGAAGAAAACCTCTGACAGGCTTATCTAATTCTACTAGCGCACATGGAAGGGACTCTCTTCACTGAATTCATAGCTAACATTAATAATTGATGAGCAAAATGAGTAAACTAAGTAATGTCATCGGAGCTTGGCAAGCGATGTCAATATAGGTTCACAGTCTGGGGATTAGCTCAAGTTGGCAACATTATTGGGGTATTTTGATCAATCCCATTCCATTGCTATCCCGCTCGAGGAAACCTCCAAGTTATCAATTCTCCCCGTTGGAAGGGAGACATAACTCTTCAGTAATTCATTATTCTGACAGTTAATCTTACTATAACCGGAACAATTCAACCTCTCTTGTTTTCGTGATTCTCTCACAATAAGAGCAAAGAGAGCTAGATTGTATAGAGAATTAGAATCGAATAATTTGTACCAAAGAAAAGAATACAAAAAGGACCTCAGCAAAGAAGCTTTACTTTCTCAAAGATAACAACAGCACACAAGTTCCAACAGTCAGAAACTAAAACATAGATATGTTTAAAAAAAGAGACCATAGAAAGGTTGAACCTTTTACAAGTTGATTCTTCTTCAGCAAAAAGGTTTTCAGTAGGAATACTTTTAGATTTTAAAATTCACTCAAAACCATAAAAATGAAAACACAAACTTCACAAAAAGGAAGGTGTCAATTTTTCATCTTTATATTTACAAGTAGATTCTTGTTCAGCAAAATTCTTACTTTTAGATTTTACAATTCTCCCTAACCAAGAAAATAAAAACACAAACTTTACAACAAAAACATCAATTTCAATCCCAATACTTTAAGATTATAAAATTCACCCAAACCCAAGAATGAAAAAGACACAAACTTTAACAAAACAAAGTGTCAATTTTTCCTCTTTATCTTTTCAGTAAGGCATATAAATAGCTAAAATTAAAGAAATGAAAGAAGAATACTAACGCCAAGAAGGATTTGAGTGTATGCAATAGTTAAGCTGAAGTAGTTGCTCTGCCGGAGGAAACATAGGTCCTCTGGCTGAACCAAGTGGCATTGCTGGTGGCGCCGCCGCCTGTTGCGGCGGTGGCTGGTGGTTGTGTTCATGATTATGTGTCTCCCCCATAATTCTCTCTCAAAAAAATCTACAGAATGGGGCTAAAGGTGGAATCTTTAAACTTAGTTTCCAAGAATCAGCACCGACATGAAATCTGAGCTTAAAAATTGAGTCTTTTTTCCCTTTTCTTGAAATGACTAACATTAATTACAACAGTAAATGAAATTTAAATACTCAAGATCAGATTTTGAGATTAATAAGTACTGAAACATGCAGATAATAGACACCCCATTTTTATTTTATTTTTAAATTATTTTTTTAGTACTCTATAGTTATAATTTATTTTTATTTATTTCTGAGAAGGGATAAGAGGAGGGAAAAAAGATTACATTTTTAACGTAAACTGGTTAAGGTATTTGTTATTTTCGAGGAACATAACGCATAGCATGGGAAGGAAGGAGACATCCCGCGTGGGTTCCACGAATTTCGATGTCCTACTTTGTAAGTACACTAGATTCTTCAGTTATTTACGACATTGACACTCCTGTATTTTTTTATGACGTAAATTATTAGTTTCATTTGAATTATTGATAGCTTTAAACATATTTTTTTACTTGACTAACTGAACCTAATTACACTTCCGATCTTGCGACATAAGTGAAATACACTCCTATATTCTCGTCAAGTTTATGAGTGTTTTCAACACTTCTTTCAGTTTTTTATTAAGAGTTTTATACTTCTATAAGAATTTGAGATCATTTGATATGTCATGTGGCAAAATAAGGGTGAATCCAAATTTAATCAATCAAGTAAAGAGTTATTTTAAGGCAGTCAATACAAGAAAAATAAAAGTAATAATTCGCTCTAAGTTTAAGAGTGTTTCCAATACATTTTAAAAAAAATATTTAAGATTTAAAAATAATAAAATCTTATCTAATTAAAATGTGTAACTGATAATTTCATCATTATAGTTTAAAAGATATTTATGCCTGATCTCTAAAATAATAATTGATTTAAATAAGTTTTCACGAGGACAATAGGAGTTTTAAGAATTTTAAAAGATATAAAAAGGATGAAAAGGGAAAAAGCTTTAATGGAAGAAAATAGACACACAATAAAAAACAAATCATTCACTTTCTTATTATTTTTTATTTTTTTGAATATTCTAGTTTGAATTGAAATGATGATGGTGCAAGGACTAAAGAGAATATAGGGGAAATAATTAAAGGCAAGGAAAATGAGAAGAAAACAAATTAGGAGCTTATTTAAGTACTTTTTTTCCTGTAAAGTGTCTGCCATTAGCAAATAAAAACAGACACACCATGACCATTGTCTAGTTATAACCTTATCTTTTCCTAATTACCCAAAACTCTTCTATCAAATTCTCAAAACATATCTTAGCATTAATCAAATTAAATATTTGATGTGACACATGAAATGAACGATGAACTTAAATACACACGTGAATTATTATTGACAGTCATAAAAATATTTTTTTATTTGATTAAACTTAAATATACCGTCAATCTTGCTACATGAGCATACATTTTTAAATTCTGGCCAAGTTTAGAAATATTTAATTATCTATTATTTATATAAGTAGTAAAATTCTAATATGTTTTCACTGTGCATATAATTTTCCAACATTATTCAGGGACGAAACTAATAATTTACGTCAAATTCAAGGTGTTTTCAAAACTTCTTTCCTATTAATTTCATGACAATGTTAATAATGGCATTAAATGGTAAATTTGCAACAAAAATAGCTCCAAATTGGGTAAATAATACGGTTTGAAACTTCACGCCAGCACGTGGTATTCGTATGGTGTGTGGGAACAACTGCGGCTAAATGTGTCCTTAGAATTCTTTGTACTTTGGATCTCACTTATTATATATTATTATTCACATTATTTTATCATATATTATATATATTACTATACTATTACCCTTTTACCAACTTTTGCTATTTTTACTCAATTTGAGTTTCTACGTTTAGTTCTAATTAATGAACTTGTGCGCGCTTCGCGCAGAAGTGAATGGTCATTTTATAAATTTATTATTAATTAAAAAATTAAAATTTATTTTTACTACTATAGTTCTTTTAAGGATCTTTTACTATTATAAAATATTATTGATGAAAATTTATTATTTTGCAAATCCCTTTTTATTTCGGAGAGGTAAAGTAAAATTTAAATTTGATAAATTTTGAGCTTTAGTCTTTTATGTTATTGAATTCTAAATTAGTTATGTGTATTTATTCAATGAAATTTCTGGAGATCAAAGTTATTTGATTGACCGAACACACTGCTTTGTCCCTACTTTCATAGAAATAAAGAATATAGAATGGACAGAAGTATTGATCAATAAAAATAATAATAACGTCATGAAAAAATATATAATGTAATATGAAAGAGAGATCTTTTAGCAAAAGAAATAATTTAAAAATTCAAAAAGGCAAATAAAATTCTGTTAAAAAAGCAATTCTTATGAAGTCATAATAATTAATTCATAGGAATAAACAAATAAAAGAAAATGTAAAGAATAAAAAAAAGTAATTTGACGAAATAATACAACATTAATAATGAGATTTGAAGGAAGGAAGTAAAAGAAATTAATATCATTGATGATGAATGGAATTAAATATGGTCATCTTTGATATTTCTTATTTTTTTAAAAACTTCAATATATAAAATAAAATTTGAGGCATAATCTTTTTTGAAAGAATGACTTTTGTTCTCAATAGTCATCTCCTTTAGGAGGAATCAACATTCTTCCAAAAAGTTTTTTACTTTGAAGAGAAACTTTTTGTTACGTGAAATTTCTCCTTACACTTATATCATCCGAAGGATCACAAGATACTCATCTTTTCTCTTTTTGTAAAGCAATCAGAAGACTAGAAATTAGTTGGTCATCTCAGCGGCATAATCAATATTCTTTCAAAAAGTCTTTTATTTTGAAGAGAAACTTTTGTTACATGATTTTTTTCCTTACATCAATATTTTCTGAAGGATCATGAATTTGTTGGACATCTCAGTAAAGGAATTTGATACTCATATATTCATTACATCATCAGAAGAGATAAAGTGAAGGAATCCATTGTTGTTGGGTACAAATACTCTAATATTTTTATTTTATAGGCTAAGTAAATATAAATTGTTACTAAAAATGAAAAGTTTTAGTCTTTTCATCTTTCAGTTTTTAGTCTTTTCATCTTCCATTTACTTAAATGTGTATTAGTGTGAGGAAAGTTTTAAAGAAACATGATTAATTGGGTAGTGTATTTAAATGTTTTCAGTTTTTAAGAATACAAATAAATTATAGAAATCAAAGATAAAATATCAAAAAAAGAGAAAAAGAAAAATAGAAATGGAGGCCATAGAGAGGTGTCACGTCAAATTGTCTAATTCAATATATATATATATATATATATGTATGTATAAATAGATTTTGAATATTCCATACGTTTTTGAAATGGTAATTCATGTAAAGATAAAAGTTATCGATACTAGGATCAAACACTTATTATCATGTGTCAAAAGCTATAGCTGATAGCAAATGCACAATTTTATAAACAAGCTCATATTCGATTATAACTCTGATCCGAGCCATCTATTCCTCGTGGGCCTTGCTATAGGTAGGTCTTTTTCAAAAAATGTTTGTTTACGGTCAAACACCAAAATATGACTTTTAGAAGACACCAAACACATCCTATATAGCCTATTTTTTTTCAATTTGGAGGACTAAAATAATAGATTCATTATAATTTTCACTTTTTGATTTTAGCAAGTTCTGTTTTAAAAGACAGAGAAAGGGAATGAAATTGTTTATAAATTTCTTTTAAAGAAAAATATTTGATGGGATAATTGAAAATTTCATCTAAAAGTCAAAACACAAATGTCACTTGAAAAGTAGTAGTACTATAAGGTCGGCACCGGCCTTTGCTCACATACACATGCACACTAATTATATCAATTCAATTCAAGTCGTGTGGTATTTGATTTGCTTTTATAAGGTATAATGATACTGAAATTCCATAAATAGCCTCTTTTGCCATTTATTTATAGTTCACATTTGACAAGGAGTGAAAAGTTTGTAACTAGAGATCTTCAAATAATATTCACTACAATAAAGTTTAAAGAAGTGAAGGAGAGCAACACTAAACTTTGGAGTTGATTTCTCAAATGATCATTCAAGTGTAATAGTTGTTATTTTTGAAAGTTAACTTTTCTTACTTTGGAGTTGATTTCTCAAATGATCATTCAAGTGTAATAGTTGTTATTTTTGAAAGTTAACTTTTCAACAAAGAAAGTGACTTTTTGAAGCTCGATATTTAAGACTACAATATGTCCTGTTCCTTTCTTGTTTAAATTATGGACTTCATTGATGATTAAAACCAACTTACTGCAAGATACTGTGATAAAGAGCAGGAGGCTACAACCAGTAGACTTGCAAATAGTAATATAAAATAAAACCTTCAATGGCCTTCAAATTTAGGCAATTTATAACTTGCTTTAGATGAGGTCATTTTGAAATAAATATTATACATCTAAATTGAGGTATTGCACAGACCTTTGATGTCAATTATTTCATAGTACACTGTAGAGCATTACAAGTCAAACTGAGCTTCAAACGTACAAAGAGCAGTTGGCAAATTTTACTCAGAGTATTGGTAAGATACAAGGGGAGGAAGACCGTTTGAGCTAACTCTGGGTACTAAAGTAGTCCGAGGGATACAAAGAAGATACAAACAACATATATCAACCTCCATATAGTGGAATATGACTTACTCTGCGAGGGGATTAAGCACACAAGTAGTCCGAGGGATACAAAGAAGATACAAACAACATATATCAACCTCCATATAGTGGAATATGACTTACTCTGCGAGGGGATTAAGCACACAAGTAGTCCGAGGGATACAAAGAAGATACAAACAACATATATCAACCTCCATATAGTGGAATATGACTTACTCTGCGAGGGGATTAAGCACACTACCAACAAACAGTACCACGCCTGTTGCATCTTCTCTAATCAAGAAAAGATATGGATGATCAGCAATGAAGTCTACTTTCTCTTCCATCATCAATCCTCTTAGTTTAACAACACCAGCAGTTGCAGCTGCAGCTTCTGTTCCCTCTTCATTTACCTCAATAAAGGACTTGTGAAAGATGCTAGAAACATAAAGGTTACTGCCAACAGGGGAGTCTACCATCTCAGTGAGGCCATCACCAGAGAAAGGCAATACCAGGCCAAGCCCTTTCAGAACGTTAGAAGCTTCAAATCCAAATGATATTTTAAATTTGGGGATACGGAATTCACCGACTCCAACCTTTTGATATGGAAGGTGTCGCTCCAAGAATTGGGATTCGGAACTGACCTTGTCTACCAAAGCTGGCAGTCCATCATTGGCATCAGGCAGAAAGAAGTACATGGAGAAACGACGCTTATCCTCACCTTGTTTATACGGAAGGCTCAATACCTTGAAACCATCAAAAGCTTTTACATATTGCTTCTTCTGGCTAGTCATGAAGGGCACCTGAATACATGTCCCATTCAGAAGGTGGAACTCACTTTCCTTGGTCACTGATGCATCAAACTTTTCATCCCAGGCTCCTTTAAAGTACAATGCATTTGCAAACACAAGTCTAGTTGAACTGTCAACTGAGTCACCTGGAAGTATTTCTTTGATAAGCCCACTTGTTTCCTTTTCAGCCCATTGATTCACTTGACTGGCAACCTCAACAGCCTACAAATCATCCAAAAATTTTAATAAAAAATTATTCAAGAGGTATCTTTTTAATATTCATTTACTCAAATGCTATCATTTTAATCTGAGTCCAGCTTCAACTGCTGGGTGACTAATGTTTATATAGGTCAGTAAAACTATCCATGCTAAGGCCTAAGGCTGCAGAGAAACAGAAATGTTTGAAGAGTATAGCCAGTTTTTTAAGCAATGAATGTAGAACTTCTTCGATCTCCAAAGAAGGTAGCAATACATCAGTATTTGAGATTAAAGTGAATTGTAAGCATAGTGAAAATGTATGAGACACCATTTACTGGCCCGCTGTTTATCAGGAATGTAAATGCATAGCCCATCTGTTCATAGTTCAATCTCCAGCTAAAAGGAAAAGGTACAGATAAAGATAAAAGCCGAAGCCGCTAAATGATGAAGTGCACTAAAAGTCTTATCTTAGCTAAAAGCAGAAATGACAATCCCTCGAGCATGAACATTAAGCACACTGAATTTCTTATGTAACAAAATAAGAAACAGGACCACTTCGGTTGATCCTGCATCTCCTGATGCTACTGTATACAGGAAAGTAAGTGGAAAGTTGCAATACTTGTCTTTTACTAGGCCTGATGTTTCTTACTCGGTGAACAAATCAATTTATGCATGCTCCATCTGATACTCACTGGAAGACTGTTAAACGCCTCATTTCATATCTCTAAAGCACTGCTAACTATGGCCTTTGAATTGCTCCAAGCACCAGTCTAAATCTCTCGGTGTTTTCTGATCCTGACTGGGCAGGCAAATTCACTGATCGAAATTCCAGCACAGGTTATGCTATTTTTCTTGGCCTTACTTCAGTTTGTTGGTCATCAAGAAAACAACTTCCTAGTTCCGACCAGTTGGCTGACGCTCTCACCATACAGCTTCCAAAAAGCTCCTTTCTTCGCCATTTGTTAAGTACTTGTTTTATTGCATAGGTTGTATTTTTTGTTTCCACCATTTTAGGAGTTTTTGTTATTTTTATTTCCCTTGTTTACTGGTTTAGTTTCCACTTACTACTTCTTAAACTCCGTATCAAGTTAAAACAGACAAACAAATTAAAACGGAGGTAGTACTTGGAGCTGAATAGCATCAAAATTTCCCCATAAACAACTCATAAACTCAAATTCAACAGATCTCCTCATATAACAGTTATCCCATCAAGCATTTCATAACTGAATCAATCAATTATATTTGAAACAAAATAACTAAATACAAAAGGGTTGTTAAAAATCTAACCTTTTTCTGAAAATCAACAGAAGAAGAAGTAGCCTTATAAACATTGTCCACAATCTGTTTGAAAGAATGCTTCAGAGGGAAAGTCTGTTCAACCCAGACGCTATTAGCAACCGAAAGTCGAGGCCCACCACTAGGGCTACCATCAGCAAAGACAACCTCAACAATCTGAGAAGAAAGAGAGTTTAGTTCGTCAGTAGACTTCGATTTGAGGAAACTGAGCAACTGGTCACGGGTCGGGCCATTTGAACCCGCTGCTATGAGACCCAACACTACATGGATCGACAAAGGGGAGAAGACCATGTTGGTGTCCCCTTTAACCTCAGTGGAGAAAACATGCTTGGCTAGTGTTAAGGATACGCCTGTTTGGTTGCTGATTGATTCTTGAAGGTCCATTGCTATGGAAATTTTTGAGTTTGTGTGTGTAGAATTTTAAGAGTCAACAAAAAAGAAATGGTACAGTAGTGACACGTTTTGAAGTTGAAATAGAATTAAAAGTCAATACTTAGCATAGAAGTATGGAATTTGTACCACGTAATCAAAAGGACAAAAGAAAATTGTTTATAGAAAGGAATAATGTTATCTTCGTTTAAATTAGTTTGTCGAAGCATTTGAGTTTGATTATTGTAATAGTGGTGTTCGGGCTAGTTTATGAATTTATACATATGGTTGATTTTATTGTTATTATTTAAGTTATTATATTTTTAAAGCGATTATTTGGTATGTGGATTAGATTAGTACTTTGACATCATAATAATATACAATCTCCAGTGAGTTTATGAAGGTAGGGAAATCATTAGAGTCTAGACTATTTGTTCTTTTTTTCATTTTGGTATGATTCAGAATGAAGATTTTTCAACCATCTCACTATCATTCATATTCGTAAATAGGCTAATTGTTACTCCCTCTGTCCCATTTTATATGAGGTACTTTGACTCGAGACGAAGTTTAAGAAAGGAAGGAAAACTTTTAAAACTTGTGGTTCAAAATGAATGATAGAAATTTGTGTGGCTGTAAATCATTTCATTAAGGGTAAAATAGACATTTTATAGCTAAATTGTTACTTAAAATAGAAATGTGTCATTCTTTTTGGGACTGACTAAAAAGGAAAGTAAGTCATATAAATTGGAACAGAGGGTGTAGTACTTAACCGGAACAAAATAATTATATACCATTCAGTATTTTCTTTGTTTCTGCCTTCATATTTTTGTTAAAAAAAACATTAACCTCACTCCGAACTCCTAAGTAAAGCTTGTGGGGTTAAAAGTGTAAGTTAACCCTTAGTTTTTTTAATTAATTTATATTCTTTTGCCGAATTGACTTATATACTACATGCCAAATTATTCATTAGTTTTATCATTGTAACGGTCCTCTTAGTCGTTTTATGAATTTTAATCATTAGTTTTATATTAGCCCTTCTTACTAGCTTTTATAAATAATTTATGACTTATAAGAATGAGTGACATGATTTTCAAATTTAATAAAAGATTATTTTGTTGCTAATAATAGTAGAAAAGGAAAATAGATAAATAAATAATAAAAGGGTAAATGTTGTTGGCTGTTGTGAACAGCAGCAGTTCACGCAGCCGAGAAAAACAAATAACGAGAATAGGGAGAAACCCTACGCAGCGTTAATGAGAGGAACAAATTGCTTCAGGTAATAGCTATTCACAATTTCTTAATTAGTACAATTATTCTCTCTTTATATATATAGTGGAATATGTTTGCATCGTATGACATTTTAGTCGTTGGTGGAGAAGAAAGTAATTTGCAAATTGAATTGCAGTAAACCTATTGTGGTATTGTTTTTGGATTTAGGGAGAAAATGATTTGAATGGGAAATAATTGGCAGTGATAAGTATCTCTTTTTAATTAATGTGTAAGCATAATTGTTGTTGAATATTATTGGTTTGGAGACGACGGGCACTATCGATTTCTCACAACTTGAATTTTATTATATCAAAGTAAGGACCAGCTTCGGTCTTACAATCTTGATCACACTTGTTGCTTGCTTCAGCAACACTATTTGACTTAAGCACTCACTCTTGTTTGCTCTCTTATTTCTTGCTTGGTTTCTTGGTTGGTTGCTTACAACTCAAATGGACCACCTCTATTTATAGGTGGTGATGGAAGAATCTAGAGAGATACATACTACTCTATTCTAGAATATTCCTAACTATCTTTTTCTAGAACTATTCTTTCTAGAACATTTCTAGACTATTCTTTCTAGAATACTCATTCTAGAGATCTTCCTTCAATTCTCTACACCTCCGGAATATTCTAGATTGTTCTTGACTTATCTTAAGTAAATAATTAAGTTGGTGATGAATTCTTAACAGTTAGTATTACTTAATGTTGGCTTTGGAAGAGGAAAAACGGTAAAAGTGGGTGATGGAATATAGTTATAGGATATTAACAAGTAGGTTAGGCTGTCAATTTGCTTTTGTTGCAGTACGGAAATAATTTCTGCTTCTATATTAGTATATGTATATTCCCAAGGAGTTATTGTTGTAATTGCACATAGTGAATAGGAGATGAATTATCTTCTACTGATCTCCTTGACAAAGCTTTATATGCCTAACTGTGAAACAAGATATTCACAAGCTTTTAACTCAATGACAAGGATGTTTTCTACTCAAACTTTCGACACCTGTAGAATCATTTCAAAAGCATGCTAGTCCAAGTCAATGGTTGCCATTTAGGAGTTAATTAAGATTGTGGAATGAATGATATATTGAGATTTTGGTCTAAATATTTTATACGGTGGTCCGTAAGTATGCATAATGGTTATGGGTTTGGTTTGGTTTCACAATTTTCTTATAGTTATCAAGTTATAATTCAAGTTTTGATATATTGAGATAAGTAATTAAATAATAAGGGCATTGTATTATATAAATACCATTAGATTTATGTATTGGAGGATGGAAACTTAACCCTAGACTTGAAATTTGGAAATATGAGGATTGACATGATAATTGACATCAAAATTTAGGAACTTGATTACAAGTTTGGATGAGTTTTGGGTCTAGGCTAGACATATGTGTGTTGTTAGTTTCGAATCTTATTGTGATTATTTATTCGGATAGATTGCATTGATTTGGAAGTCTAACGAAGAGGAAGACTCAAGCCCCAGAGTGATTGTTCGACTATTTTAGGCAAGTGGATTTCTAAACCCTTGTTAAGTGTATGGAATTCGTGTATTTCCTTGTGATATGTGTTTGGGGGTAATGAGACTTAGTGATGGGTTGACTCGTACATATTGATTATTTTCTAATGATGAAAAAGGGGTAATAAAAGGCAATGTGTTTAATTGTTGATGTGTGATGTTTGAGACTGGGTTGAAAGGCTTGTTGAATCATTGTTGATTTTGTGTCACGGTTATATTGTTGTGAATTTGTGTATTGTTATGAAAATGGTCATCTCCTCATTATTTGTGTGAACATGTTATTTGCATTGGTTCTGAGACATGGTTGTGATAAGTGTAATGTGATAAGAGGATGTACCATTTCGAGGGACTTATCACGTGCCGCGATGGATACTATATTTCGAGGGACGTATCGTGTGCCGCGATGGATACTATATTTCGAGGGACATTTCGCACGCCGCGATGGATATTATATATCGAGGGACGTATCGCGCGCTGCGATAGATGCATGGACAAATATGTCCCCCATGGGTCCCGGACTGAGAGACAGCGGGTGTGTATCACTAGGTCAGACATGCATCACTATACTTGACATTGCATTCCATTGCATTGCACATATTTATCATTAGTGAACTTGATATTGTGTCTTGCTGATCTTGTGAGTGCCTTTCTGTGGAACTTTGATTGGTGAATATTGAGTTTGTTGTTGAGGATATGTAATTGTTAGAGTGTTGTTGTTGAGCTGTATGCTATGTGAATTATGAACTGTTTAGATTGGGCTGATTTTAAGCAGGTTGTAGTCGTGGAGATTGTAATTGATGAATCTTGAGCTTGTTGTTGAGGATATGTGATTGTTAGAATGTTGCTGTTGAGATATGTGCTATGTGAATTGTGAACTATTAGGTTGGGCTGATTTTATGCAGGTTGTAGTTGTGGAGGTTCGGTTGGGGTGGTAGGAGTACCCGTTTCTATTCACTTAGCTTGTGTTTAGAGGTTTACTTGTTGAGTACCGTGTGATTTGGTACTCACCCCTTGCTTCTACAATTTTTTGTAGGTTACTAGCCCGTACCTTTGTGATATTTTTCTCTTCTCCTTGTCTGAGGCTTCTTGTGGAGGTTTGTGAGGTAGCTGTTTGTCATTTCAGCGGACTTCTTACTCCTATTTATGATCTTGTTCTATTCTAGAAACAAGGTCATTTGAGACTTGTGTTTTTCTTTTGAATCAATTGTAATACTTTAGAGGCTTGTACACGTGACAACCAGATTTTGGGGGTATTTTTGAGTTGATTATAAAATTTCCGCATTTTATTGTAAAGGTTGAATTTTAGGCTGACTTGTCTTAGTGGGATAAGATGAATGCCATCACGTCTATTTTTGGGTCGTGATAATCACGATCCAAAACATGACATGTATTATATTTTTGGGCCGAGGACGGTACAAATTTTTCTTTTTAATTAGATTAAGATATTATGTGCACTTTCGCTTTGAAGTTTGCTAGCTTAGAAGCTTGTGAGTCCAACTTGATCGGACTTACCAGCTTGACCGCCTTGGTCAGGACTCAGGCGAGTCAATCAAATACTACTTATAAGTTATAACAAATGACAACCAAAGAAAAAATGAAGAACAAACTTGAATACAAACACTGAGGGACAACTTCTGTAGTTGAGACAATATGAAATTCATCATATTACCCTTATTTAGAAGTGCCACTTAAAAAGGACCAACACTGCAGCTGCTCATTGTACTAAAGGCAATACTAATTGTACATTTAAAAGGACCAACACTGCATCTGCTGATTGTACTAAAGGCAGTAGTAATTGTACCTTTAGAAATTGTACATTTACACGACCAACACCCTCTCTCATTTTCCTTTCACTTTCTCTAGAAGTTTCTCAAATTTCTAACCCTAATTTGTCTCCCTCTCAACTCTTCGTTCGACTTCTCAACTCTTCAATGGCCGATCGAGCTGTTCTTTACTGTTATCTGTTTCTCTACATCTCTCTGAAGGTTTCCTGAAGGTTTGTGTTTGTCTCCGACCTCCTGCGCAGGTTCTTCTTCATGGTTTAAGGCAAATTTCAATGGCGACTCCATCTCTTCTTTATTCTTTGCTGTTTGTCTACAGCCTTTAAATCTCTCTCTGAAGCTTTGCTGAATATTTCTGTTTGTCTCCCTAATTTCTCTCCCTCTCAACTCTTCTTTCTACTTGTGAACTCTTCAATGGCGAATCCATCTGTTCTTTTGTGTTTTCGGTTTGTCTACAACCTTTAAATTTCTCTCTGAAGGTTTGCTGAAGATTTCTGTTTGTGTCCGACGACCTGCGCAGGTACTTCTTCATCCTTTAAGCGAAATTTCGATGGCGAATCCATCTGTTGTTTGTTGTTTTCTGTTTCTCTACA